GGTAAGTAGAAGGGTTCATTAATAGAGATGGATCCTCTTCTTACATTTACACATCAAAAACGGTTGGATCAGGACAAGAAACTGTGTTTAGAAACTTTAGATTTGTAAGGTGGCCCTTTCTTATGACGAGAAATGATAGAAGACATTATAAAAAATATAGCTTGAACTGCACCAAATGTGCAAGCTAGCAAAGTTAGCTAAGTTAATTGAAATCAAGTTCATTTTTGTCGCATATTATCATGTAAGACACAATCATAGGGGAATTTAAGATTTTCACACTGAGACATACCGTGTTAGCTGTAATGCATGTCTGCGTTGGGATTCTTCTTGTGGTTGTGTGTCGTTGCTCTTTGCCCAGTGTTTTGTGCCCATTTATACACATGCTAGTCAGTGTAACTTATAACTGTGTCTATGCTATGAAAGCATAGACATGAAAATAAAAAACCACATTAACAAATTAAATCAGTGTTAAATCAGTCAGTCTAGTGTTAAAAACTACTATGACTGATGAGGGAACTTTTTGATTAAAATGATCACAGGGGAAATGTGTTTCCTTGTTAATACAAGTATAATTAATAACATAAAAATATTAAAAATGGCACTGATTATCAGCCAAGCTGACATTTTGAATGGTTGGTATCAATATCAGACATGAGTGTCAAGATCAGTCCATAACTAGTGAGTTATTGTATTGTGAGTTTGCAGGCAACAACCAGCCCTACAGTATTCTGGCCTAATATTACTATACGCACCCACAGACCTCCCCACCACAGCCCAAAGCATTTTCTCAAGTTCTTAAACCTTTCAGTTATTCAGTATTTATGTAGTTGTATGTAGCATGATCTTCAAATCTGAATTTATTATCTTTCCCGTCTCTCAACAGGTTCCCTAGTCCCTTCATCATTTACTTCAAAACCTCAGCTTCGTTACAAAGCAAAAACAAAGGCACTTTTAAGAGCCACTTTTGTCTAGTTAATTGTTGTTAGTCTGTCTGGTTCTCTGTTGTTCTTGCTCTTTTGCTCTTCCCCCCTATCCCTTTAGTGTTGTCTTGTTTGTCCTTGTTCACCATGAGTGACAATTCCAATTTCAAACAGGTCCTTAATGAGCTTGATGAGCTTGTTGAACATTCTAAATTAAATTATGAACTCCAGATCTTGAATGATTTCATCAATAAGATGCAGGGAGAACAGGAGGCAGCACCATCCACCAGCCATCAACCAGTCCAGGAGGCAGCACCCTCCACTAGCCATCAACCTGTCAGGTGGCTGAAGAGAGACAGTGATGGAAATGTTGTCTATGACAGACCGAGATCATCCCGAAACCAAACGGGTCAGTTTTCTTTTTTCAGTCATATTACTTAAAGGAGTACTCCTGTGATTTTTCACATAGATCTAAAACGGAGATATAGATTGTTTTACCACTTGGGATTTAATACATGAATCAGTCATGTGTCTGGTATGAGATATGAGGTTTTTATTACATACTCATGATCATCCAAAGTGGTATAGACAATGAAATTGGGCCAATAAAAGTATGTATCATTGTGTGGAATAAAATGAGCTTGTCAAAATCTATGGAATTGTAATGCTGTAAAGGTTGATTTGGGTTTTATTTTCTGCTACAGCTAGTCACAGCTACAGTCGTAAGTCTAGTTCTCATACTAGGATGTTGGACAACAGCTTTGAGATAACCAACTACTGTCCCCCTGACACTGTTGGTATGTCCTTTAGTTTGTGTCTATTAGTTCATTATGTTTATAGATTCTAATAATTAGAATGTAAATTACATGTTTTTGCGACAGAATAACCGACAACATGTTGCACACTTTGATAGTGTAGAAAATTGTTTTTAAATATGATGTACTATTTTAACAGAGACTTTCCTTGAAGAGCTAAACCACTCACAGGGTGATGACTTGGATGATCAGGAAACGGCACCAGCACCACCACAAGCTTCCTCAGACTGGTCTACTAGAAAAAGTCTCCTCTCAGAGAGGTGGGAGAAAGAGAGACCCTGTCTGGTGAATACCATGGTGGCACAACAAAATGTGAACACTCAGATCTGCCAACAATGTGGCAGCAGTGCAGCTGCTGTCCGTTGTCGTGACTGCCGACCACAACCATTCTTTTGTGCTGATTGTGATGTCAGTATACACCGAAACCATGTGTTCCACAACAGGGATGCAACAATAGCTGGATTCTTTCAGCCATTGCCTCCAACAACCTGTGTCGTGGAGAGGGCTCTTTCCCACTGTGGTAAGCTCTATTTCTTTGAGTGTCTTATTTAGGGCTGCACAATTATTGCAATCGTAATTGCAATATGATCCAACGCAACAGCCTAATGGTAAAATCTTCAAATATCATTTGTGACATTTGACTTTTATATTCACGTCATCCTCCTTGACTGTGCAACTTCTGGTTGGTGGGTGTGCGTAGTGTGTGAAGGGGACAAAAATTCTGATTGGTGAACTTCAGTCGGTCAGTGGGTGTTAGTCTTGTACACTGGCTGTGCTTACTTATCAGGGGTGGCACAAATTAAAGAGACATTTGGAATATTGAACTGAATCAAATCATACACATTCAAAAATTGAATTGGAAATGGTAATCGCTTTATCTTATTTATTTAAGTGCAATTATATATTGTGCAGCACTAGTCCCATTCTCAGTTTATTTAAATAACTTTACAGTGTAATAGGCTTCACAGGAATGTTTTGAGTACTTTCTCTGAAACACACTTAATGACCTTTATCTTTAAAGCTTTTCAAATCATTGATAAAAAAGAAAAAGAAAATGATTGCAGAATACTTCCCAGTTAGTACATAGGATGATGCATGTCTTTAATCCCTGCATATGATGTGTCTTTCAGTGTGTATTGTGCCGTTGGAGATTCCCAAAAAAATATGTAGTTGTTCTCCGGGATCGTTGAGTGTCAACACAGGAGAAGTTGTTGCTGTGGTTACAATGAATGGTAAGAATAAAATGAACTTAAGGGAACAGATCAAGTGGCTTTAGCGTCCATATCACATTCTGGGCAAAGTGCCCATAGGGACCTGGGTTGGACTTTAACCTGATTCCACCCCATAGGGCTCTCCTACTCGCTTCCTGCCACTTTTCATTGTCCTATTTGAATAGAAAAAAAAACAAGGCATTGCTATTGGCTTTGTAAATGTGTCCTATTTCTATTCAAACGTTCCCTGTAGTGGTCTGCGCTGGGCAGGATTTTCAGTCCTGCACCCCCCCGTTCCCACAATATTCTATCCCGTTCCGCAATAATGTGTTTTAGTCCCGCTCCCGCCCGCATCTATACCCTTATGTGCATCTCCCGCCTGTGAAAGACCCAGGATAGGCAGGAGGGATGTTCAGTTTTGCGTTCTGTCTCACAAAAGAGGCACTTGACAAATGAGAGACTGCCAGATGTCTGATTTTAAGTTTTATTAGTTCTGAATGTACTACATAGGTGATAGTAATGTAAGCTACTTTTCCTGATTTTTCCAGGACGATATGATCTCAGTATGCCTGAGATGAAATGTGAGGCATGCAAAGCCACATGGAGCGCTGGAGTGGATGACTTAGTCCGTAATGACTACTGGCCTGCTACCCTTCACTTTTCCACGGTGTACACTACAGATGTTTTTTGTTCTTATGAAGAATTGAAGATGGCAGCACCAGGACTGTCCTGCCAAGCATTCTTAAGAATGCTTGATCAACGAACTGTCCGCTTTGGCCGTGTGAGTATGAGTGGTGGGAATCACTAACAACTAGTACTAGTATTGATGTGTATCGCAGAACGACTATGGTGACATTATCAACACATTGATTATTATAATTGGAGCATGTTGATGAAATCAAAACAGTGATTCAGCTGTACTCGATACATTAATAGAACATCATCTAAGACTCAAAGTCTTTGTGTAAAAACTACCACTCAGTAAAGAATCTAAATTCATACACTAAATGTACAAAAGTATTGGAGCAATTTATCAACTCAATCACTCAAAACATTAGACCTGTGTATAAGATCAGGTAGTGATGTCACATCCTAGTCATGCAGTTTGCATTCAGAAAAAAAAACAAATATAGACATTGGTTAAGTTTGCTGTGGGAGTCGAGTTTGCTGTGGTCTTTTTTGGGGGGGACTTTGGTCGTGATGTTTTTTGTCCATGACATAATTAGAGATAAAAGACTTCCAAAGATCCACTGGGCTGAGCGACTGCCTGTGGAGGCTCGATGCAGGAGGATTTGGTGTCACCTTTGACCTTATTAACTTTAGTTAACTTAACTGTGAATTATGTTGACATGTTTTACTGTTCTGAAACAGACTGGGAAGATCACAGCAGACAGCTTCAGAAAAAGCTTTTTGGAGCGGGAGGCTGTTAGATTTGAAGTGGATAAGATCTGCAGGGAGGAGCATTTTATCTGTCCTGCATGCACCCCAGACATGCTTGCTGTTTCTGTGGACTGAAATCGCAAGCACTACCGCTTTAAGAACGCAGCAAGGTACTTACAAAATGTGTGTAATTTGCAGTGTTGTTAAAGTAACCTTTGCTGTGTCATATTGAAGGTCAATGTGTACCTTTCTTTCAATTAGATCTGAAGAACAAGCCTTATTTGATGGCATCTTCATTGCAAAAGATGATGAAGTAGAAAGATTTGTGGATTACATTCATTCCAACACCAACCATGTAAACTTGTTGTATAATATTTCTAAAAACACGACCAATAACATTTTACAGTTGACATTGTTTGGGTGAGTCCTGACTATTTATATCAACCTTTTTCCATGTTGTAGGTCTCTGGAAGAGGTGTCTGTGGAGGGGAGTGGTCAGCTGCCAGGAAACTTCTCAGAGATCCTCTAGTAAAATTGATGAGGAGGGACTTGAGCTTGCGGTCTGTCGACATGGAGTTTTTCTCGGCGCTCTCAACATGTTCAGGGGAGAAATATATGCTTATCCCCTCTACCTGCAGAACAAGCTGGCAAATAAGTCAATAAGCTTTTTTGCCATGGATGTAACCTGCAAGTACTGGCCCTACCTCCACAAAGTGACAAAAAGCTGCCCGGAGCTCCAGCACCTTCTGAGCATGAAACCATTCCTCTCAGTGTTTCCTGCCAAAGCCCATGATTTTAAATGCGAGGTAAGAAAACATTACCATGTCATTAACTGTCCCTAAACACCTGAAAAGGTATGTTGGCAGCTTTTAAGTATTTTCTTCAATAGGTTAAATGGAGTGGAGCTTACCAGCAAGGGGCCGGATTGACACTTGGGGAGGAGGTTGAACAGTGTAACGCCTTCCTCTCTAGGACTGCTGTGACCACAAAGCACATGTCCAAAGCAGGTAAGGTAACCACACACTGCACTACTTAGATTGAAAGTGTTACAAGAAAATTGTAGCCAGTGAGGGACATGTGGTACAACACAGATTAGTGTATTTTTTTTTCTTTTTTACAGGACGTACAGACATGCTTACACTGATGGCCATGCGCTGGAATCAGCAAAAGTTTAATAACTTGGCTGCTTCACTTGCCTGCCGATATCAGAAGGTAGAGATGAGTATTGTTATTTTCTTATATTGTAAATACCTTCTATTGTATATTTTTGTAGGTATAACATTTTTATTTCATTTCTTTTTTTTGTTATTTGAAGGCCGCAAAACGCCTGGAAAGCCAACTTCAGGATCTGGAAAGCATGAAAATCCAGCTGGCAGTGACACAGGTTGAAGTTGAGGGCTGGGTCACTGATATTAAGGAGTGGGCAGAAGGTGATAGTTATACTATTATTTCAATGTCTCAGTTCTGCAGAATAATGGGAGACATGCTTCTGCAAGTAATTACTGTTTTAAAATGAAATCATACATACACTGTTTTCTTGGTCATTTACTTGTGCAGTTAAAATGCCAAATTTTAGTATGTAGTGCATGCACACTGGAAATCATGTCAAAACAAAGTGCCCTGAAAGTACCTGAATGGTGCACAGTCCAAAAGTTGGAACATTGGACATTTCGGTGACATTCAACACTTTATTTTAAGGTGTCCTTCTTAGAGTGTAATTATACATTTAAATACGGAGTAATATTAATTAACTACATGTACTTACTATAGGATTAGGGTAGGATTAGGATTTGGTTGAGGGTTAGTTACATGTAATTATGCATAATTTATTGTTATTACTATTTTAAGTTCATGTAACATATGTAACAACGACACCGTAAAATAAAGTGTTTCCGACATTTCTTGCAGTTAGCAGATCCCATCTTGGCTACGTTGTCATTTTCTTTGGTACCCTGTTACATACTTCCTATACACGCTAATAAATATGAAATGAATATTGAGACTCACCTGTCCTTCCTCCAGGAGGAAGAGGTTAAGGTAAGAGGTTAAGGTAATCCTTATGACTTCCCTGTGGCGTTCTGTGTTACACTGAGACTTAGCTCGTTTCAGTTACTGCCATGAAAATGTAAGTGAAATGTTTACACTTCTTTTCTTCTCAGCAACAACATCCCAAAAGAATGCCGACCTTGACGCGGTGACCAGTAGAATGGAGGCGCTGGTGGCCAGCATTAAAAGAAGGTCCCAGCGCCTTTACAAAGACACCGATGGCAGCAAAGGTCGGGCCCGGATTCGGCGCAAAATCAGAGAGGAGAAGGCCATTCTTAGCTCTGTCGTTGAAAAATACAACAGTATGGTTCCAGATACAGAAAGAATCGTCTTTGACATCATTCTCTCTGACGAGACAGTTTGGCCATGGCAACTTTCACATGGTGGTATGTACACAAATCTGTTGACAATTTTGTTTGATTCACATAGTAGCACAAAACCAATTATGCCTTATCCCAGATTATCTCAAATATTATTTGAAAAATAATCATACTTACAATTTACTTATTTTCCACAACTGTATCCCAGACGCTGTAGATTTGAAAATCAAGAGGAAGGCGTTTGATGTTGTGATGGCAATAAGGAGACTTGAGGAGGAGAAGAAGATTGTTCTTTCTGAGATGGCAAAGCATTGGAAATCTCTCTCCACTCGTGCAGACACACTCAAGGAGATGTCATCCCAGCTTTCCAGTGAGGCATTGCAAAGTACGTATTTAAGTAATGTGTTGTAATACTATACTGTACATTGTAATTTTTTTTCTGATAATTTTTTGTTTTACTCCCATAAGGTGAGCTGTGGGCTCTAAATGAAGAAGGGATCAAGGGTTTCCTCAGCTTAACTTTGAGAAAGAAGCAAGAAGTCACCAGAATGATGAAGCATGCAAGAGACTGCTATGCTCAAGTTTTGACTGGAACAAGTATGGACTTCCAGAATGATTGGGATGGATACGACAGTGATTCTGAACTGTCAGATTGAGGAGCTCTCGAAGTGATAAATGACCAGTTATTCACTTTTGGTTCGATTTCTTATATTTTTCAGTGTTTTGTTTGTTTGTTTTTAGTAGTGGGGGCAGGTCCAAAAAAATCACCAGTTAAAGCTGCCGTCGCCCTATTTCTGATACCGTGGGGGGGCAGAAATGTTCAGTAACACCTCAATGCAGTACATGAGATCCACGGGGAGGAGTCGGATCAAGATCCAAGGGGTGGAGATGGGTAGGATTAGGGTTGGGTTTAGGGATTAGGGGTGGGGTTTAGGGATCAGGGGGCGGAGTTGGGTAGGTTTAGGTGTATGTAAGGTGGGAGGAGTTGTATCTGGATCCGACTCCTCCCCATGGATTTCATGTTCTGCAGTGAGAACCATCTCGAAATGTTGCTGTGGGGGGCCACCACGGTCAAATCAACAAAGAGGAAACACTGTTTGTAAGTCAGATATGCTTGAATAATAGTAATTATCATATCTACATGTTACATTACAACAATAATAATGAATGTAGTTATACAAACTGAAATTAATTTAAGAAACTGTTTTTTGAAGAGTCGTCTTCTGTTTATGGTAGAACAAAACTATGTGCAGAAAAGTTTACAGGAAGGTGTAAATATGTGTATTTTACTAATAATAATAAACATAATTCCACTGATGTCATCTGCTGTGGCAAATCTGAGTTTTCTGACAGTTTTACATGGACACACAACCCCATTTTTTTCTGAATTTGGACTCTTGCATCAACTCACCTGCTACAGATGGTCTCTGAAAGCATCCTTGACAGGACTTATTCAGCTGCTTCTCATGTGCAGTGAAGGTACATAGAGGTTCAACAAATGCTAAAACTGGCCCAAAACTTGAAAATGTGACTTAATTATAGACACTATAGTGGTTATTATATACACACACAAACCAATTTTTCTGAATTTGGATGTTTAATTGGGAAGTGTCGTTGAATTACTGCAAGACTTGTTTTAATAACTACATTTCCTGACCTAAGCACTTTGATTTGCCTTATATACTATATTTAAAAAAAACTACAGTTGAGTGTTTAAAAATACAGCCTAATGGCTTGTTTGATTAATTTGGATTTGTTGTACTGTTGTGAAAAACAAAAAAATAAAACTATAAAAAGAGAAGCATTTTTTTTTTTTTCCATGCATAGTTATTTAAAAAAGCAATTTTGTGGTTGGTTTTAAAATTTTGTGGTTGATAAATGTTAATAGCAGAGACTAAAGGGGAAAAAACATGAGAGCATATTTATGGGTTAGGGTTAGTGTACATACAGTATACAACATGTGTTTTGGCATTTTTGGCACACTTCTTCCTCGGCTTACAGCATACAGACACAACTAGCATATCTCATTCAACCATTTCACAAGTTGATGAAAGGGTCTTGACATGGGTCAGAAGGTATTAGAAGTCATAAATGATGAACCAATCCACCAGCTCTGCTCCTACAGGCACCTTGGGGTGTATATGGACAATACCTTTGGCTGGAAGGCCCGTGTTGAAAGTGGGTGTTATGTTCTGAAGAGATGAGTTTTCAGTTGTCTTTTGAATGCTGTCAGGGATTCTGCATTCCGGATGAGGGTGGGCAGATCATTCCACCAGCATGGAACTGTGAATGAGAATGTTCTAGAGAGTGATTTTGTGGCTCTTTGTGATGGTACCACAAGCCGTCGCTCATTGATCGATCGTAGGCTTCTGGTGGGGGTGTAGACTCGTAGGAGCGAGTGAAAGTAGGAGGGAGCTGAGCCAGTGGTCGATCTGTAAGCAAGTGTCAAGGCCTTGAACTTGATGCGAGCAGAGAGTGGCAGCCAGTGCAGAGAGATGAACAGAGGAGTGACGTGGGCCCTTTTGGGCTCGTTGAAGACAAGACGAGCTGCAGCATTCCAGATCATTTGTAGATGTTTAGTTGCACAAGATGGAAGTACAGCCAGAAGAGCATTGCAGAGAGCATTGACCTCTGAACTTTGAACCCAGTCCATCTTGGTTTGTAATTTAGCAACAGAAGGTGCTAAACACATAAGACCAGCATTTATATATAAAGCTCTGGGCCTCTGCTGTCATGTAGATATGGTCACCAAAGTTTACCCACTGTATAAGCACTGTCAAATATGGAAATAAGCTATCTCACCTATTTAACGATTCATTTTTTTAAATCTGATAACACCAGTGTGTTCCCCATCCCAAAAAAACACAGGGTGTATCCAAAATTTTACATTTTAAACTTATAATTGTGAGAAATATACCAATATACTTTAAAACTACAACTCCCATAAGAGACGCGCCACACAAAGCGAGTGCTTATGTGTAGTTATTCTGGGGTGGGGGTGGGGGGACATGTTCGTGTAACTATGTAACTATAGGCCATGAATGGGCTTCATTCCATTGCAGATTGCCGGCCGGCCGACGAGCACACAATACATGAGACAAATACATTAAACTGTATTTTATTATTATTGTTATCTTTATTGTTTAAATCCTCAAATACAACGTTAGACAAAAACATCAATATTACGAATACAGTTTTTTATTCAAGAAATGTTTTACAATAGTACAAAAACACATTTCTTAGAAATCTAGAACATTTCCAAAAAAGCATATATTAAATAAATTAAGTCAATTTTGCACAAATATATTTTTTTATCTTCTTATCCGCCGAGCGGCACATACTACGTCACTTCCGGAGTCTTCGGTCGGTAATCGGTATTACCAAAGTCCTTTCTCTGGTATTGCGGCTGGTACAAAGCTGAGCAACTTGTTGTTGCTGGTGGCAACCAATGACAACCGATTCTGTGAATGAACGCCCGCATTGCATTGTGGAGTCTTTGCGTCTAGCTCGGATCATATGTTCTGTATTACAGCATACTGTATTATTTCACCGTAAATAAGACCGAAATATTAAAATAAATAAATACCATAACATCTAAATGAATATTGACAGTTTTAAAAATATAAACAAGAAACCCAGATTGGCCCATATAGACTGAAATAACAAAAGTAAAAAAATATAGTCTTCTGCTTTTACCCATCCGGGGTAGACTTGAACACACACATTTAGTGCATCAAGGTCAATGGAAGGCCACAGTGCAGCAGCCAGGGTTTCATGTGCCTTGCCTTTAGAAAACTTCCTGAATTAGAAAGCATGCTTTCAAATTTTTAGAGGCTACTGGACCCTCTTGACCTCTGGTCCTGGTAAGCCTGTTCATTTATCCACCCCTGCCTACCTCAGCTACCCTTTCTACAGAAAATGTATGGTTTAGCTGGTGGAATCAACGGTTCCTTAATGGTGTCAATTAATATGAATGAAAACATGTCCCACCTTCCTACATACTTTGTGCATCACATTACAATATATCATTTGATGCATTGAAGACTTCAGATGATTGGCTAAACCACAAGGTGAATGGAAAGACAAACAGAAATAAAGGTATACATCGAACAAAAATCAATAATTAAAAAATAAATGAAAAAACAGCATGACAGCATGTTAGGGTGGAAACCATTGAAAGTGTGTAACGCGGCTCCTCCTCATCTAAAGTAGTCACATCCGCAAGCAGGATGGCTGGGCCCGTAACGGCAAACTTGACATCTCATAGCAGGTATTTAACTCATTGAATTACAGACCAATGTGTGACATTACACATGGTTGGCACCTGGTGAGAACTGGCAGGCCGGCTCCCATGTCTCCTCCCAGATTTTTCCACTGTAAGTATCAGTAAAAAAATAACATTAGAACAGTGAAAAACAGGAGCCATTTTAGCAATAGTTTCACAGCATAAATATTTTCAAAAAATATTGTACGGTCTTGTATTTCATTGTTTTTATAAAACCTATACATATATAGTCCTTGATGAAATGTAACAGATAAACATCAGCCACTCTCATAGATAAAGTCATAGAAAGTCAATAGCTGACATCAGTCAACAAGGATGAGCTTGGCCGATACTGATGTTCTGCCAATATATTGGTGAAGGTCTACTTCCTACATAGACATTACACCGGGGGAATTATGCATAGTACTGAAAAGAGCAAGTGGCTAAATCCTGTAGACAATATTTGACACTGCATTTATTCCACCCTATACCAATTGGTATACTGGTATATACCCTATGAGTCTACAATTACAATATTGCGCAACATTTGAAGCAATTTGTGTTGATTTAATCTTGATTAAAGCTCATGAAAAAAAATTTAAAAAGTCAAAAAATCAATCAACTCACTACATTATAATAAAGAGGAATACAGAAATGTCGACCTTTCAAAAATAAATGAACAAATCTGACTTATCAAAAATTGTTAATGCATACACTCTATACTTGGTGTGGCTGCTTTTGCACAAATTCCTGCATCGGTGTGGTGTGGAGGCCATCAGTGTATGGCATTGCTGAGGTGTTATAAAAGCCCATGTTGCTTTGATAGTGACCTTGAAGTTGTCTCTAATGTTGGGTTTGGTTTCTATCATTGTCCTCTCTATGGGGTTCAGGTGAGACGAGTTAAGCACAGCAATACCATGCTAAGCAACCCAGTTACTAGCAGTTTTCGCACTGTGGCAGGGGCAGAGTCCTGCTGGAAAAGGATATCAGCATGTGCGTAAAGCTCGTCAGCAGATGGAACCATGCTCTAAAATCTCCAGGTAGAAGGCTGCATTGACGCTGGACCTAAAACCTAGTGGACATGACAATTCTCTCAACGCTGCTTTTTGGTTGCAAAACTTTGAGACCCACCTGTACATTTAAAGTTGTGTGCTACAATATAAATTTCAACCTTTATCCACTACCTATGAGATGGTAAAAAGTGGAAAAAGAGTACATGTATGAAGGCAATATAAACCAATATAAAGCAGTACTTACCATGCAGAGCAAGGTAACCATTTCACCCTTACTTCCTCTTGCCCCTACAGAAAGACAAAAACATATAATCAGGTTTTGAATTTCATAATTTTTGGGGCAAGGCCACTTGGCCTTCAGTTGAACTTAAATGGACTCAAATTACCAATGCTTAAATGGTCAGTATTTTGTGATATGTGAAATGCCAGATGAGCCACAGACAATGGAAAGATGATCAGACAGCCTAATGAAAAATATATTTCTTACCTCATTTATCCTTCGTCCTGTTATGGAGTCATATTTGAAAACTTTTTGCCTACTACATTTCCGGCAACCTTAAAATGACAATAATAATAATAATATTAATTAACCATAAATGTAAAAAAACCCTGGAAATTAAACTTAAAGTTTCATAAAACCTGGGGAACAACTTTAAGCATTGTCCTTGAACTTTGAAAACGTCAGAAAATACAGCTAAATAACTGAAGAATACATATATAAAGGGCCATTCACACCAAAAACGATAACTATATAAAAAAATATTGTTCTCGTTAATATGATAAACTATAACGAGATTGAGAACAATATTGTTGGGGATCGCTTTTAAAGCGATTTTGAGAACAATAAAAAGAAGAGCTAACAACCAATAGGAACCCATCACATCTTAGCCATCACATTTATTAACACAAGGTGAGACTTTGCTTATAGCTGGTCAGTCTGTCTGGACGCTTTTATCGTTATAGTTCCTGGAATGAACTGCTCTTTAGCCATTAGATTCAGTGATTTCATAGCCGAAATTTAGCCTAATTATCCTACTGCCTGGCCTAAAGGTTATTGAAGCAGATTGTGAACAGTGATAGGGGGGGATAAGCTACCTGGGCTGCCCACTGATGTGTGCGTCAGTGTGTGTGTATTCATCTCTCCTCAAGTGTGTATTGCTCATTGCTTTACTCCTAGAGTGTGCTTGTTCGGTACTGAAAGGTATGCATGCGAGGACAAACTCCTTTGTGTATCAGACTGGCCACTGAAAATTACTCACATTAACTACGGTAATTGACTGTACTTAAATTCACCTAAAGATTTCTGTATTTCATGAATAATGATTACAAAAAGGAGAAATTCATACATAGTGTGCTAAGACCACAGTTAACTTACACTTTCTTTTTTTGGGGGGGGGTTGTTCCTTCACAGGGAGAGAGACAGGGTGTAAATCTAAAATCTAAAATGTCTCCTTTTCCTGGGCCTCAGGGTGTGGATCGGGCTGGGCCTGAGGGTGTGGATCGGGCTGGGCCTGAGGGTGTGGATCGGGCTGGGCCTGAGGGTGTGGATCGGGCTGGGCCTGAGGGCGTGGATCGAGCAGGGCCTGAGGGTGTGGATCGGGCTGGGCCTGAGGGTGTGGATCGGGCTGGGCCTGAGGGTGTGGATCGAGCAGGGCCTGAGGGTGTGGATCGAGCAGGGCCTGAGGGCGTGGATCGGGCTGGGCCTGAGGGCGTGGATCGAGCAGGGCCTGAGGGTGTGGATCGGGCTGGGCCTGAGGGTGTGGATCGAGCAATGTCGTCGTGGAATTCCCTACAATATAGCATGAGTATGTTAATTTTCAATATTTCACCATCATAAAAAAAACAGGCATGACTTAAATTACACAAATCCTACCTTCTTTGATCAATACAAAATTGTAGGCCTTTCTCATGGTGGCCACAATTTTTAGGTTGTCCTCAGTGGGTAGCAGATGGGTCACCACATCAGACACCCACTTTCCAGAGGCCTTATCTTTCTTTGCGAAAAATAGAATTGGGACATAGCCCAATGCACTTAGTTTTTTCACCTGTAATAAATAAATGCAGACAGCAAACATTAGTTATTCCCACTGCATTACTTTCCACCCAATTGGAAAACAAATTTGCATTAAATACATTAGTGCTACTGTTTCTAATATCGGGCTACACAACTTACATGACCAACCTTAACAGCTTTTCCCCTTAGAAACAACATTACATGATGTTTTATTAACAAAGTTCGGGAGGAGCACGTTCAGATAATTAAACCCAATTAGACACGAGTGGAGCAAACTCTGCTAATCAATCCAATCAACGAGTTAAGAGGTGTATATATAACAACAAGCTTAGCTCTGTCCGTTGACAGTTTGACAGCATCCCTCCACCACCCCATCTCCTCACTTCTAGCCCTAAATACTTTTATAACAATGGGGGAAGTACTCTGGGTTCAGGCAAAAATCCTGAGCTCGGAGACCTCCCCCGGACCGCACGCCAAATACTCATAATCTTTACTCTGTTAAATTGATGTAAGTGTGAACTCGTGAAATATGTACTCTATACCAGTGGTTCTCAAAATGGATTTGTTTCAAATGAGAAAGTTGTGCTTAATCGTTAAGAAATGCTTATCAATGACGATGTAATGATCTAGAATCTACATATAAAATCTTGATTATGAATGTACTAATAAATTAAAACATTAACATTGAACTTTTTTTGTGATTATGATTAATCAAGTCAATCTGTTGTGAATCACTTCACTCAGGTCATGATGAACCATTCTTCCTGCTGCTTAGCTTGGCTTATTTGCCATTAAGATAGCTGATGAACATGGTCCTCATCATTAAGTGATTCAAAATCCAAAGTTGACTAAAGACCAAGTAAGTACACACCAGCTAGAAAACAAGGAATAGTGAACTTAAGAGAATAAAAATGGCATCAAAGTATACAAATGGTAGCAAGCATATGCTTAATTGTTTTGATTATGAGGGGGTTCTTGGAAATTCTTCTCCCACACAAAGGGTCCTTGGCACAAACAGTTTGAGAACCCCTGCTCTATACAACCAATATTCATCTAATGTTGTGCTGGATGCTGGTGGTCAAATAGTTAGCAATCTGGGATTCTAAAGGGAACACAAAAAGTCCTGACACCCTTCAAAAATAATTATATTGATTGGACACACACAAAACAAAATATGATAAAAATACATTTTGACTGGACTAACTCTTTATGGCCACCTATCCACCTGATCCAAACACTCTCCTCGGTCTACCTGTCTCTGCCCACGGCAAATGTAGATTGGGGGACTAACAGAAACACTACAGAACCTGGTCTCGGTCCTACTCCAGTAGGTATAGTCGAATCCTTTCCACTTTTAACCCGACATTAATCTCCCCTGTAGTAATTCAAATACTTTTTTAAGTTGTGTCTTTGAAATAGGACACCTGGAATATGGCCTTGTTTTTAACAACACATATGTTGCACACAGCATGGCTTTCACACATGTCCTGAGTTATTTTGTCACATCATCATGCACTTTCTCTAAAATTAACACCGCGCAAGGCACTATAAGTGTGCGATGCAATATTCACATGCTAGGGGTGGTAGTGCAAGGTAAGAGCATGTTATCTACTTACATAATCATGCAAGACTGTCTTTAATAGTGACTCTGGATCTGAATTCTGTGATCTGCCTTTAGCAGAGACAGAAACTTCAGTAACACGCATACTGAAGTACCTGTGTGGTACTAAAGCAAGGTTATATTTGCAATGTAGCCGGTAGTATATGTAAACAAATGTACATGAGCGCCTGGTCAAAAAGAAAGTCTATTCTATGCATGTCAAGCAAATTACAAATTAATTAAAATAATATGTTACACCAATGCCATCTATGACTACCTCAAATTCATTCACTGACAAATTCAACTTATTTTTGTAAAATGAGGCCCTTGCCCTATCACAAAATATTAATGAAAGTGAAACAAATCATATTGCTTAATGAAATATGAGCATTTCTACTTACTGCAATATGGGCAGAGTCCACCACTCTTCCTGCATTTCTGTTTTTTTAGGACCCTTTCCCCCCACTTCCTGTCCAGGGTCACTTTTTTGGCCGCTACTTTCTTTTTTTGGGAGATGGCTGCGAAACAAGAGCTGCAGGTTTTGCGGCTCACCTGTGTTAGTAAAAGTATACCAAAGTGAGACATCAGATCCACAGTCACAGAGAAGAAGTAGAGTCAATATACAGTTTAATTTGGCTGTATACAGGAAAGAGAGGAACACACAAAGCACAATGCAATTCAGAATATGCATCTCTAGATTGACACAGGATTATTATTATTATTATCATACAGTGAAAGTGGCAGATGTAGGAGACACCCAGGCTAAATCAATGTTGCCTATGGCATTTGGTGCAAAACAAGCAATCAAAATTGATATCAACCAGATGCCTTAAATTATCACTGTTTTGTAACACAGAACACTTATCATACAGGGTCGTTTAGTAGGAGTATACTTTAGTGTCCAATTGACCTAATAATGAGAAATGTATAACATTTAAAACCACATATTTGAATACTGGACATAATGCTCTATTTGACTTTCCCTCACCTGGTTAGGTGCTTGGCAGGAGGGGCAAGGCCTGAACTTCTTTCGAGAAATCTACACCACACACACACACACACACACATTTTCTAGAGTGCACTTAAGACAGTGTAAACAAACACAACATAACTTATTGGCATAATTGCTTTCTACCAAAACAATGAGAACGATTGAGCAGCTAACTTTAAGGTTAACTGTTTAGTGTCACTGCAACAATAACCATGCACTTATATCAGTCTCTATGCCATGAATTTTCTACAGGATAGTTGAGGGCTATGTAATAAAAATCTGAAAATCTTACATTCCCCTATGATTGTGTCTTACATGATAATATGCGACAAAAATGAACTTGATTTCAATTAACTTAGCTAACTTTGCTAGCTTGCACATTTGGTGCAGTTCAAGCTTTATTTTTTATAATGTCTTCTATCATTTCTCGTCATAAGAAAGGGCCACCTTACAAATCTAAAGTTTCTAAACACAATTTCTTGTCCTGATCCAACCGTTTTTGATGTGTAAATGTAAGAAGAGGATCCATCTCTATTAATGAACCCTTCTACTTACCCAGTGGAAAATCGCAATGGACCTTGGGATCGCCCATACGGTGACGTCAGCGTTATTAATTTAGAGGATTTAGTAAAAATAATAATTTAAAAAAAATGATTAATTGAACACAATCGTAGCATATTAAAATCAACAAACCTCCGATAGAAATACGTTATCCAGCATGCTCTAGTGTTTTACCTATGATAAGAAAACGCTTTAAAACTGCATACTTGCACGCGAATAGGAGCGTTAAACTCACCTTTTAATTACGTTTTACCTGCAGTTGTGCGTTGCTTTGGTCAAACTCCCCTCTGAACGCCGTTTTACCTGCAGTTGAGTGTTGTTAAACTCACCGCTGAATGTGGTTGCACACCATGTTCGTTGTTAAACTCACCGCTGATGAACGCGCTTAGCTTTTGAGGGCCCTTTGATATCAGATTGCGAGGGTTTTTAAACATCAAACACCAGTTGGGGGGCATTTGAATCGCCCTGGCATAGATAATTTTTGGTAGCGTATTCCTTTATTTTTATTTATTGTTGTCTCGACCCACAAGGCAGACAACGGGTTGCGGTTTGGTGATCGACCCAAGACGTCAAATTTCAACGCTGTTGAGTTCTATAGAAGTCTATTGGACTGCCCCGCACGTTGAAAAATGAAGCCGAAGGTATACCCAGTGCGTCAAAAAAGTGACGCCAGGGTCCCTTGACCATGCGTCAGACATTTGACGAGTAGGGAGTGAGACTGTGTTGTGGGGAACTCCACATGTCATTTTTGTCAGCTCAGTTGTGTGATTACCTATAGACACAAAGTAGTCCCTGTCCTTTAAGTAGGATTCAAACCAGTTTAGTACTGTGCCAGAAAGTCCAACCCAGTTTTCAAGTCTGTCTAGTAATATGTTGTGGTCGACCGTGTCGAATGCAGCACTGAGATCCAATAATACTAAGACTGAAATTCTGCCACTGTCAGTGTTTAAATGGATGTCATTGAAGACCTTAACAAGAGCCATCTCAGTGCTGTGGTGTGGTCGAAAACCTGACTGGAAGACATCTAAAGAGTTATTTAGTGCCAAGAAAGCACTAAGCTGTTGAAAAACAGCCTGTTCAATGATTTTACTTAAAAATGGGAGATTTGATATGGGCATATAATTGCTCATTAGTGACCTGTCCAGATTGCTCTTTTTTAAGAGTGGCTTAATGACTGCAGTTTTCAGGGCCTGTAGGAAAAAACCTGAGAGGAGAGACATATTGACAATTTGTAGTAGATCTGAGGCCATGCATTTAGACACATTTTTGAAAAAACCTGTTGCCAGAATATCAAGGCAGCATGAGGAGGATTTCAGATGTTGTATTATGTCCTCCAGGTTTTTATGGTTAATAGAATCTAATTGTCTTATGCTATATAAAT